CCGAAAAATGCTATTAGAAATGAGTTAATTTTTTTGGAGCGTGCAGTCGCAACACTGAGTTTGAATTTAAATTTTACGATTGTGCGTTCTTGTACAAATATAGTGATAAGTGAATTCTTTTTTACTGGTAAATTTTCTGTCAAAGTGGCATGAACTTTATTGTTCAATAATTACAATAATGTCGCACTTATTATCCAAAAGTTGCACTTGGATCAGATATTTTAATTTCAATAAAGGTGCAATTAATTTACAAATTCATGAATTATTCATACAAAATAAATTTATAAAAACAAGGATCTTTTCATTCATAAACAGGTTCGGGGTTTTTGTATATTATTTGAATTGTTCGCGACGATGGATTTCTCGCCAATTAAATCATTAACCTTTGTATTTGTTTTTTGTATGAATAATTCATGAATATATATATATATATATATATATATATATATATATATATATATATATATATATATATGTATGTATGTATGTATGTATGTATATGTATTCAAGCATGCTAGGTTGAAGAATCTGGATATATGTCTATTTATTTCTATTTAAATCTTCTCAGATTCACGGATCAATTTCTTAATGTTTTTATTAAACTGATTAAGCTAGAAGACGTAGATATTTTCATTTTAAAATGTAACACGAAGAGAAAATGATGACACAAACAAGATATAGACTAGTTAAAATAAAGAAATCAGAAAGGAAACCCAATATCTATCTAATATACGTAGACCATTAGATCGTATGGTCATTCACAGCAAAAGTGGTGCTACTTCGGCAGAGATATCCTGATTTGGGGGGCAACGCTCTCCAGGCCAGTATTCATTCTCCTGAACAGGTTGCCACCCAAGGTGGTAGAACCCAGACTGCTATTATCCATATATATAAATTAACTGATCTAAAATATGTTTTTTTTCTGGTACACAGTTCTAACCATGTTTCAAAAATGGAAGCTAAAATTTTCGAATTTAATTTTGTAGTAAAATTAAAGACATTAGTTCTATTTCATCCTCAAGCGAATTTTGCAGTAACTTATTTTATATAAAAAAAAACAAAAAAAAAACAACACTTAATAATATTAACTTTGAACATGGACACAATACGTTGACCCTGTTTTGAAAAATTAAAAGATTTTATAAAACATAGACGCAACAAACTATTTCCTATTTAACAGTTAAAATATTTAATCCTTGAAAATGGCTAAATGTATAGCACTCAGATAGAAAGAATATTCGTACCGTTGTTTTATTCAATTTATCTTCCGAAAAGAAAAAAGAAATTAGATCGCATGAGAAATTGTATAAAAAACTAAATAAAAGCACCTTGTCTGTCGTATTCAATGAAATGTGAATGTATATATATATATATATATATATATATATATATATATATATATTCACATTTCATTGAACATTTTAACATTGCGTTTAGCATGAAATAGTATCTCAAGGTTTCTTGAATATTCAATATTTACATACGCTCTATCTCTGATCTGGTTTATCCCCTAAATATAGTACATCTTAAGACTATATTCCTTTATATATATATATATATATATATATATATATATATATATATATATATATGTACGTGTATGTGTGTATCGAAACATTTCAATTTCAATATTCCTATCGATCTATTTGATAACGTAAATATAATTAATTGTTAATAACAAGTTAAAAATAAATTAAACTATAAAACACAATCTTTTCGTATTCAAGATTAACATAACATTAAATTCAATCTCTAGTTTGTTGTTACAAGAGCCCAAGTTGATTCAGTCAGTTATGTACCATATACATGATCATGTTTCTTTTCGATACTTTTCTGACAAGACAGTTGTTTTTTTATTTCTTTCTGCCATCCAGTTTGTTATTTCAGCTGGGGTAGAAGAGGTTATTAGTATGTAAGTGAATGCAATGGATTCGACTGAAATTCGAACTCGACTCTCCGATTCCTCAATCCGAACGCGTATCCATTACGCCACCGTGACTCCTTTCTCGCTGATTATATTACCTATTTCATTATCTAATGACAAAGATAAGGAAAATACGTTATTTATATATATTTCAAAAATATTTTTACATCATCGGACTAATAGTTTTTAATGTGCTTTGTGTATATAATATTCCGATTTCATCCAGATTTTTGTTTATTTTCCCATCACTTTTGTTTTTAAATACCCCACGCAGTGACAATAGAAGATATGCCAAGAATGTTAAAACATAAGAATGTGGATACAAATTTACTATGGTTGATTTAAAACACTTACTAAATAGTTTCGTCTCCGTAAATTTTTTTCTATTTTAATTCAAAGACAAAACAATTTACTGAGCGTAACATTTTTTGAAATCAAAATTGTGGTCAGTCACATTACGTTGGTCAACTAATGCATTTAATGTGTTGTTTTGTAAAAAATATGCCTTTTATGTTCATATAATTGTTTATTTAAATTCCTCGATGTTTCTCCTATGTATTCCCTGCAGCAGTCATTACTGGTAATAGAGTAAATACCTCATTTAAGCTTTAGCATATTACTTTATTTGTATTAATTAATTCTTTTATGGTTTCAGACGCTGTTGTGACAAACTTTTTTCAGCTTTGTCGTACATCTTTCCCCTTAAATTGTTCTTGATATATACAGAAAAATACATACTTGCCATATATATATATATATATATATATATATATATATATATATATATACTCCTGAAAAATTTATTTCAGTTGAGCTCTCTGGGGGAGGAAGTGTGGGTTTGTAAACAGTGACTATTACGGTTGATAATGCATGATTCTTTGGTAAATCGAATCGAGTTCTCTCAGTCAATGTGTGTTTATCTAAAAATAAATACGCTTAAATTCATCTTCTTCCCTGCCGTGCGTCAACGGCTTAGGGGTAAAATATCTGACTGACGGGTTTCGATCCTAGCTAGAGGACTGCTGAGCTGTGATACAGCAAGACAGTCTGTCTGTGGATGACAATATATATATATATGATATATATATATATATATATATATATATATATATATATATATATGTGTGTGTGTGTGTGTGTGTGTGTGTATGAAGATATATAGAAAATAGGAAAGAACTTGTTAGATAAATAATCCAAAATTCTTTAATATTTTTGTTATTATTTTAAAAAAATTGTGCTCGATACAAAAGTAGAGCATAAATATAATTATTAATTTAAAAATATGATTCCAACACGCTACGCTACGATCTCATGTTTCAAAACAAGAGCCGAAAACTTCAATATAATTATTTGAATTAAATTGAATTAA